TGAGAGATTAAGTGAGAGGAGTGAGTGTGAGAGAAATGGTAGGATTTGGGGAGTGGGAAAGAGAGATAAATGGTAGGATTTAGAAGACATTGAGAAAATGGTGGAGGAGTTATTTTACTTTTAAAGAACGTATCACTTTGCGCGACGAAAAAATATATTGGTCGCGCAAAGTGTTTAAAAAAATTTAAAAAAAAATTCCCATTTTCGGTGCCTGCCAAATTTTTTCAGGTTTGGGCGATGAATTTTTGGTCGCCCAAACTTTTGCGTGACCAAAATATTCCCACATCCCATTTTTGGTGCCCGCCAATTTTTTAGAGAATACTTTGCGCGACGAATATTTATATATTGGTCGCGCAAAGTCAAAATTTTTTTAAAAAAAAAATCCCATTTTTGGTGCCCGCCAAATTTTTAGAGTATACTTTGCGCGACGAATATTTATATATTGGTCGCGCAAAGTCAAAATTTTTTTATAAAAAAAATCCCATTTTTGGTGCCCGCCAAATTTTTAGAGTATACTGTGCGCGACGAATAATTATATATTGGTCGCGCAAAGTCGGAATTTTATTTTATAATAAAATTCCCATTTTTGGCACACACCCAAATTTTGAGAGTATACTTTGCGCAACGAAATACTAATTGGTCGTGCAAAGTCTTAAAAAATATTTAAAGCTACTAATAAATACATATACTATTCAGTTTCTTAAGTGTTATACGTACAAAATAAATAAATTTAAAGCTACTCAACGATCTAACCGTCAAACTTGTTTGTTTATACTTCGAGATCATATACACCAAAATTCAGAAAAAATAAACATTAAGAGATCAATTAATGGGACAAAACATTTCGACGGTTATAAACGAAAAATCATGATTTAACGGTTATTTCAACCCTGATTTTGATGATGTTTTACAGATACACTCGATATGAATACAATGACTGCATTCGATCGTCAATTTAAAATATTTACACTAGTAGATACCACAAGATCTTATGTTATATTTAATAAAAGTATAAATAAACTCTTATTTGTTAGTGAATATATTGTTTTCATGGCATACGCATTCTACGAAACTAGTTTCAACGATCCAACCGTCAAATTTGTTTGTTTACACTTCGAGATCATATACGCCAAAAATCGGAAAAAATAAACATTCAGAGATTAAGTAATAGGACAAAACTTTTCGACGGTTATAAACTAAAAATCACGATTTAACGGTTATTCCAACTCTGATTTTGATGATTTTTTTACAGCTACACTCCTTGACCCTATATGAATACAATGATTGCATTCGATCGTCAATTTAAAATATTTACACTAGTTGATACCACAAAATCGTATGTTATATTCACTCTTATTTGTTAGTGAATATATTGTTTTCATGGCATAAGCATTCTACAAAACTAGTTTCAACGATCCAACCGTCAAAATTGTTTTTTTACACTTCGAGATCATATACGCCAAAAATCGGAAAAAAAAATAAATCAGAGATCAAGTAACAGGACAAAACATTTCGACGGTTATAAACGAAAAATCAAGATTTAACGGTTATTTCAACTCTAATTTTGATGATTTTTTTACAGCTACACTCCTTGACCCTATATGAATACAATGAACCACTTCGATCGTCAATTTAAAATATTTACACTAGTAGATACCACAAAATCGTATGTTATATTTAATAAAAGTATAAATAAACTCTTATTTATTAGTGAATATATTGTTTTCATGGCATACGCATTCTACGAAACTAGCTTCAACGATCCAACCGTCAAATTTGTTTGTTTACACTTCAAGATCATATATTCCAAAAATCGGAAAAAAAAATAAATCAGAGATCAAGTAACAGGACAAAACATTTCGACGGTTATAAACGAAAAATCAAGATTTAACGGTTATTTCAACTCGAATTTTGATGATTTTTACAGCTACACTCCTTGACCCTATATGAATACAATGAACCAATTCGATCGTCAATTTAAAATATATATTTTCTAACAAAAACCCAATCCGAACTACAATAATATATTTTTCTAACAAAATAATTTTTTTATTTTATTTATTTTTGTATAGACTTTGCGAGACGAAGATTATTTTTTCGTCGCGCAAAGTCATCCAAAATTTTTTAATTTTTTTTTAAATTTTAGTAAAGACTTTGCGAGACGAAGATTATTTTTTTGTCGCGCAAAGGCATCCAAAAATTTTTTAAAATAATTTTTATTTATTTATTTTTGTAAATAATTTGCGAGACGAATCACTATTCGTCGTGCAAAAATCTGTGCACCGAATTCTAGTATTCGTCGCGCAAAGTTAATTTTCGCGACGATTCCTTGTCGTCGCGCAAAGTGACTTTGTGCGATGATTTTTTTTTCGTTGCGCAAAATTGAGTCGCGTAAGACTTTGAGCGACGATGATTAATATTTGTCGCGCAAAGTCACTTTGCGCGACGAATTTTGTTTGGTCGCGCAAGGGGTTTTTTTTAGTAGTGAGCAAACTTAAATGTTAAAAATGGAAATAAGGTAATCTGTACACCAGTTGAGCAAAGGGGCAATTTGAAGCACCTACAATCGTTTTTCTAGCCGCCTCTGCTTCCAACCGAACCAGCCATATGAGACTAAATCGATTTGGGTATGAAGATTTTGCTTTGAAATCTTTGAATACCCGCAGCGGAATTGACACCCACATTCAAGAACGAACCTGGCTCTTTGATACCATATTGGAATATTAGGTACTGATTTGGATTTTCAGGGAGAAAAGGGAAGGAGATGAAAGAAGGAGCATGAAGAATATGTTTCTGCAAAACCCCTATAAGCTGCTGTGCCAATTAGCTCAGCTATTTCTCTTCTTTTATCAAACGATTTACATCAGGAAAGGTACAAAAAGATCTGCCAATGTGTGTATGACACTTGGCTCTTTCCTATAGGTATTTCAGCCACAAATCTCAACCATTCAAGTGATCTAAGCTATTACTTAGTCACCACCAGCTAAAACAGTAATAGTCAATCAGTAACAAACAATTTACACATCAACAGTTTTAATATTAAACCCTAATATCAATGATGTGCCTTGTGCAGGTGGGCAGTGGTGAAGGATGAGTGAATATATAGAGTTAAGTAGCTTAGGTGTTTCTCGGGATGCTCAGCTGAGAGCTGAAGCTTCTCAATGTAGTTCTTGAAACTGGAGCCAAGGAAATCTTTGAATTCGGATACAACAAATTGAAGAACCGATGGGAAAAATTTAGCAACACTTTGGTTCTGTTAAACAAATTTTCTCTACAGAAAATTGCACCCCAATACTGCACTTATTTCAAAAAAACCAGAAAACCTTCACCAGGTATAATGTCCTCAATCACTCTTATGCACTTAGTCTAGTGGTAGTTTCAAGGTTGGAAGAGGTCCCAAGTTTGATTATGAAGGAAGTTGAGGTTCCATCCCAAAACTAATTGCCAATGGAGGGAGTAACTCAACTCCTTATAAGCCCTTACTAGGTTTCTCAACTTTCCAATGTGGGACTTTTTACCTTCACATTTTCACACGCCCCGCATGTATGGCGAATTTTCAAGCCTAACACGTGAATAACACATATTGGGTGATATGGAGCATGTGTGGCTGTTGGGCTTTCACATGTGGGCTAACCCGCTCTGATACCATGAAGGAAGTTGAGGTTCCACCCCAAAACCAATTGGCAATGGGGGGAGTAACCCAACTCCTTATAAGCCCTTACTAGGTTTCTCAACTTTCTAATGTGGAACTCTTTACCTTCACATTCTCACAGATTCCATTATGAAGTATTTTATTCTCATGGTAAGTTATGTGTGGTTGAAATGCGAGAGGGAAGAAGATAAAGATTGCTATGCAGTCCTCCAAGGAGAAGCCAATGTTTATGGGGCTAGAGGTTGCTTGTTTGGTGCTGACATGGACATGTACGTCTCACCCTCTTAAGGAGCCATGATGATTTTGATATATTGCTTCACCGGCTCAACCAATTAGTCTTGAAAGAAAGCAAACCCCCAAAGTTATTTGCCAACGATTTGATGACAAATTAATCATCTGTTGGTCTCAAAAGAAAGACACCAGCAAAACCATGCAAACAGTTTGCCTCTGATGAGCCCCTTAGAGCAACTCCACCCATTTGCCCCTTGCCATGGCAAGGGGGGGGGGCTAGGGCAGCCACTATTCACGTGAATAGTGGTTGCCCTTGCAAATAGTAAATTTTGTGTTTCCACCCATTGCCATGGCTAAGGGCAATTACTATTCATTTTTTTGTTTTTTTCACAATTTTTTTTACCTCAATAATTAATTTGGATAATATTTTCGGATAAGATTTCCGGGTTCCTACGTGTCATGACTATTCATAATCGGATAAAATTTCGGGATAAGATTTTTGGGTTCAATTTTCGGATGAATTTCAAAATTCAAATTTCAGATAAAAATTTGGGTTCAAATTTCGGATGAATTTCAAAATTCAAATTTC